TACATACAGTCTCGTCGCGGCTCAACATACTCCACCCAGGGCGTGCCGCTCAGCTTCAACGATTTGCCGTGTCGTGCCCAACATTTAATATTGAATGAGTTGATGCGTAGTAAGAGTAAGCATACGGCGGTACCCTTCCTAACCCTAACCCTAACCCTAACCCTAACCCTAACCCTAACCCTAACCCTAACCCTAACCCTAACCCTAACCCTAACCCTAACCCTAACCCTAACCCTAACCCTAACCCTAACCCTAACCCTAACCCTAACCCTAACTATCACCCTAACTATCACCCTAACTATCACCCTAACTATCACCCTAACTATCACCCTAACTATCACCCTAACTATCACCCTAACTATCACCCTAACTATCGTTACAAACTTACCGCGAAGCCGTTATATATATAAGATACCGTCAAATTTACGGCGAAGCCGTGCAAGGCGTAGCCTTGTTTATTATATATTATATATTATATATAATACTTAGGGTCAGGCTTAGGGTCATACTTAGGGTCATACTTAGGGTCACACTTAGGGTCATACTTAGGGTTACACTTAGGGTTAATTTCACTTATTATACCGTCAAATTTACGGCGAAGCCGTGCAGGGCGTAGCCCTTTATATTATATATAATATAATATTCAGACTTAGGGTCACACTTAGGGTTACACTTAGGGTCATACTTAGGGTCAGACTTAGGGTCACACTTAGGGTCACACTTAGGGTCATACTTAGGGTAATACTTAGGGTTAATTTCACTTATTATACCGTCAAATTTACGGCGAAGCCGTTATATATATAAGATACCGTTAAATTTACGGCGAAGCCGTGCAGGGCGTAGCCCTTTGTATTATATATAATATAATATTCAGACTTAGGGTCAGACTTAGGGTCACACTTAGGGTCAGACTTAGGGTCACACTTAGGGTCACACTTAGGGTCATACTTAGGGTTAATTTCACTTATTATACCGTCAAATTTACGGCGAAGCCGTGCAAGGCGTAGCCTTGTTTATTATATATTATATATTATATATAATGCTTAGGGTCAGGCTTAGGGTCATACTTAGGGTCATACTTAGGGTCGATTTTACCTATTATACCGTCAAATTTACGGCGAAGCCGTTATATATATAAGATACCGTCAAATTTACGGCGAAGCCGTGCAGGGCGTAGCCCTTTGTATTATATATAATATAATATTCAGACTTAGGGTCACACTTAGGGTTACACTTAGGGTCATACTTAGGGTCATACTTAGGGTCAGACTTAGGGTCATACTTAGGGTCGATTATACCTATTATACCGTCAAATTTACGGCGAAGCCGTGCAGGGCGTAGCCCTTTATATTATATATAATATAATATTCAGACTTAGGGTCACACTTAGGGTTACACTTAGGGTCATACTTAGGGTCAGACTTAGGGTCACACTTAGGGTCACACTTAGGGTCATACTTAGGGTAATACTTAGGGTTAATTTCACTTATTATACCGTCAAATTTACGGCGAAGCCGTTATATATATAAGATACCGTTAAATTTACGGCGAAGCCGTGCAGGGCGTAGCCCTTTGTATTATATATAATATAATATTCAGACTTAGGGTCAGACTTAGGGTCACACTTAGGGTCAGACTTAGGGTCACACTTAGGGTCACACTTAGGGTCATACTTAGGGTTAATTTCACTTATTATACCGTCAAATTTACGGCGAAGCCGTGCAAGGCGTAGCCTTGTTTATTATATATTATATATTATATATAATGCTTAGGGTCAGGCTTAGGGTCATACTTAGGGTCATACTTAGGGTCGATTTTACCTATTATACCGTCAAATTTACGGCGAAGCCGTTATATATATAAGATACCGTCAAATTTACGGCGAAGCCGTGCAGGGCGTAGCCCTTTGTATTATATATAATATAATATTCAGACTTAGGGTCAGACTTAGGGTCAGACTTAGGGTCACACTTAGGGTCACACTTAGGGTCACACTTAGGGTCACACTTAGGGTCACACTTAGGGTCAGACTTAGGGTTAAGGATAAGGTTAATTAGATACATAGTATCTAATAGATACTATGTAATTTACTAGCGCAGCGGATATTACAGTAGTAATATTAACCTTACTTAGGGTGAAGGATAAGGTGAAGGATAGGGTGAAGGATAGGGTGAAGGATAGGGTGAAGGATAGGGTGAAGGATAGGGTAGAGGATAGGGCTAGATATAAGGCTGAAAATCAAAGGATAATCGAAGAATCAAAGGTAAAAGAATAAAGATAAAGGTAAAGGTAAGAGATAAGGTGAAGGATAGGGTAGAGGATAGGGCTATACTTAAGGTGAATAAAATTTATTAGAGCCGAAGCTTTGAAATCAAAACTTGAACCTTATAACCGATGCTTTGAAATCAATAGATTAAACCTTATAACTAATACTTTGAAATCAATAGATTAAACCTTATAACTAATACTTTGAAATCAATAGATTAAACCTTATAACCGATGCTTTAAAATCAATAGATTAAACCTTATAACTAATACTTTGAAATCAATAGATTAAACCTTATAACTGATACTTTGAAATTAATATTTTAAGGGTTAGGGTCGGACTTCGGGTCGAGCTTAGGGCCGAGCTTAGGGTCGAGCTTAGGGTCAGACTTAGGGTTATATAGAAGGCTATTCCCTTTCGATTATTCACTCTTCATCACTCTCTTAACTATCATCACTCTCTTAACTATCATCACTCTCTCGACGATTATCACTCTCTCGACTATTATTACTCTCTTACCTTATCTTTCTAAACTATTACTCTCTTACCTTATTACTTTCTCACCTTATCCTTCTGAATTATCACTCTCTCAACTACTTTACTATTATCGACCCTATACTTACCTTATCCCTGCCCTAAGCCTTACCCTAGGCCTCTCCTATCTACCTTACCAGCGCCTACCTTACTAGCGCCTACCTCACCGTCGCCCTCTCCGATTTTTTACCGTTTATTCTTCACTTACCCCCCTATTTCAGCACCTAAGGATTAATTTCCACCGTCTAAAAATCGATTCTACCGGCTAGTTTTCGAGATATCATCACTTTTATAAGTTATCTCGCAATTCTACTGATAAATCACTAAGTTTTCATATTTCCCCTGATTTTTACCCCGCACTTTACCCCGCAATTACCCCTCTACCCCTCTTTTACTATGCTGTTCGAATGCCCCGCGTGTAAAAATGAATATATCGATATTCTCGATCATATTCGTAAAAAACACCCTACTGATTCCTTTACAGAGCTTCAATTACAGCCTATAGGCCTTGTTCCCTGCCCTACCTGTGCTACAGCGTGTAAAGGAGCCCACGGGATTAAGACTCATAGCGCTAAAATCCACGGAATCACCGGTAGCTCTAGGGTATCAACGCAGCACCGAATCCATACTACCCCCTCTGCCTCAGCACCCTTAGACGCTGAAATCGACGATTCTATAGGCACCCCCTACCCTGTAATCGATTTCCCTCAGCTACTAGCACCCTTTCGAGCCGCTACCCCTAAGGCCAGAGCCTCTCTAGGCCTTTCAGGCTCTGAATACCCTACAGCTCCAGGGGCTACAGGCCTGTATAAGTCGCCTCCAGCACCTACAAGCCGAAATCTCAGTACCCCTCCACCCCTACCAAGCCCCCCATTCGATATCTACCCAGGCTTTACAGGCTCTCCGTCCCCTGTAACTTCAGCACCAAATAGCCCTAAATCGCCTACCTACGCCCAAGTTACCGCCACCCCTCTAGGCTCTAAGCCTTCAGCACCTACAGGCTCCAAGCACCCTACGGCTTCAGGCTCTAAGACCCCTGTACCTTCAGTACCTACAGGCTCTAAGCACCCTACGGCTCCAGGCTCCAAGTACCCCGCACCTTCAGCACCTGCAGGCTCCAAGACCCCTGCACCTTCAGCACCTACAGGCTCTAAGCACCCTACGGCTCCAGGCTCCAAGTACCCCGCACCTTCAGCACCTGCAGGCTCCAAGCACCCTACGGCTCCAGGCTCCAAGTACCCCGCACCTTCAACACCTACAGGCTCTAAGCACCCTACGCCTTCAGGCTCCAAGTACCCCGCACCTTCAGCACCTACAGGCTCTAAGACCCCTGTACCGTCAGTACCTACAGGCTCCAAGTACCCTACGGCTCTAGGCCCCGACCTCCCTACAGGCACCCGAAGGATTCAGACCCCACGGGGTATTTGGTACTCGATTCCAGGGGAAGTAGACGCTATACTCCCAGCGTACGACGGCCCTACAGGCCCTGAACCAGACTCCCTCCCAGGCTCTCGACCCCCCACGCCTACAGGCTCTACGTCACCTACATACGCCCAAATCGTCGCTACAGGCTATATACCCCCGAAGCCGTCCACTAAACGCCCTGCAAGAACACCCTCCCCAGGGGCTCAACGCCCTACGACACGCCAAAAGATAGGCCCTACGCAGCCTATAGAGCCTATAATCAAAGACAGCTCGTCCGACGAAGATCTTTATAGTGCCTCTACAGCGCTATCGTCCCCTACCCCTAGCTTTGAAGACGCTATCTCAACGCCTATACCAACTACACCTACCGATAAGACGCCTACCACACCTAGCCTACCCTCTGATAGCCCCTACTTCCCTCGACTATCACGAGTAGGCTCCCCTATAAGCAACCGAAGCTACTCACCCCTAGAACCACCCCCTAAAGCTCCCCAAGCTTCAGCACCCTCTCACGCTAAAGAGCCTATAATAATAAGCTCTTCTCCCCCAACAACCCCTACAACACACCTACCCTCCAAAACTACCACAACTCACCTACCCTCTAAAAACACCACAACTCACCTACCCTGCGAAACCTCCACACCTAGCCTACCCGTTAACCCAACACTCCAGGGCCGTACTATAGGGCCTACAGCGTCTAAACGCCCTATATCAACACAAGGCACAGCATCTTCAGCGCCTAAACGCCCTAGAACGTCAACACTAAAACGCCCTACCGACCCCCTCACATCTGAGCTACCCTTTGGATTACAACAATCGATCCACTGCCCCCAGCCTCAGGCTACCTCAGCACCTACACCCCTACACCCACAGGCTTCCTCAGCGCCTACACCCCTAGACGAGAGCGCTAAAGACCACTTGAACGCTATAAGCTCAGCGCTAAGAAACCCCTATATGCAATCCCTCATGAGATATAGCACTATTAAGGTCCCTGAAACACGTCTCCACGCCAGGCAAGCAGCGCTATTTACAGAGGCCGCTAATCGAGCGGCTTTAGCGTTCTTACGGCAGCCTAGAGAGAAGCAATTACTGGACTTTTTACTGCTTCCCAGGGTTCTCGGCCTAGGATTACAGAAGGAAGAGCTCGCTAAAACGCTGAAAGCCTACCCTACGACTATACCGGATATCCCTGAAACTCAGGGACCTCCCCCTGAACTCCCTACCCCCTCAAACGACTCCCCCGCCAAAAGAGCGACTAAGCTTCTGGAAAAAGGCTATATAGGGCGTGCCTCTAGAGCCCTAATCGACCCTACGCCTCTAGCTCCTAGCACTCCAGAGACGCTAAATACGCTATACTCGAAGCACCCTATAGGGCATAATAACCCCTTCAGTAACGCTAACCCCTCCCCGGGGCAAAATATCACCCCTGAAACGATACGACAGGCTATTCGATCGATTAATAGAGAGAAAGCCCCTGGCCTCAGCGGCTGGACCCGCCCGCTACTTGATATAGCGCTAAATTCGGAAAACTCCCCTGTAACTATAGCGCTTACACACCTAGCGAATATGATTCGACAGGGTACAGCTCCAGGGGTCGACCTCCTATGTGCTTCCCGACTTATAGGCCTTCAGAAGCCTGACGGAGGTGTGCGACCGATCGCTATAGGGGACCTTATTTATAAGGTAGCCCTAAAAGCGATCCTTATCAGCTCCTTCAAGCCGTCTATGCTTCTACCCTGCCAATTAGGCGTTAGCACCCCAGGTGGTGTAGAGCCTATAATCTTCCTCCTTGACGACGCTATTACCGGCCCAAATACCCTAAAAACTCAGCAAATCGCCTCCTTAGACCTTATCAACGCTTATAACCGAATCGGACGAACCTCAATAGCAGCTGCAGTCGCTAAATACGCCCCTACTCTCTATCGGACCGCTAAATGGGCCTATAACCAGCCTTCAGTGCTAGTAACAAACGAAGGCCACACGCTAGCAAGCGCTGAAGGAGTACGCCAAGGAGACCCTATTGCCCCCCTCTTATTCTCTCTAGCGATCCGCCCCCTGCTAGAGCACCTCCAAAAGACCCTACCGAAGGCTACAATTATAGCTTATTTGGACGATATCTATATCCTTAGCCCTGAAACTACAGCACTACTCCCTGTAGTTATAGAAGCCTTCAGGGACTCTCCAGTAGCTCTTAACCGCCAAAAGAGCACCGAAAGCCCTATCTCCCAGTTACAAACCACTGGACTTAAGGCCTTAGGGACCTTTATAGGCCCTGTAGCACACCGCCGAACGTTTCTCCAGGGGAAAATCGACACTCTCGCTACAGCGCTATATACCCTACGAGACCTCCCTAAACAACACGCTACCCTACTCTTACGGGGTAGTATACACCTACTCCTACGACACTTACAGCGCCAATTGTACTCGGAAGACCTACTAGACCTCTGGAGGTTAGCGGACTTACGAATCAAGTACGCTGTACAAGCCCTAATCGCTAGGGAGCCAGGGGAGAAGACTACCCTAATTCGCCAGGCTTTACTCTCTCTTCCAGTGAGAGAGGGAGGCTTAGGGCTCCCTATACACGCCTTATTAGCCCCAGGGCTCTATAGGGCAGCTAAGGAAGCCTCTCGATCGATTCTAGTGGCTATATGCCCTAATCTCTACCCGGAACCCCCTGGACGCCCTGTACCGACAGCCCAAGAGGTCTTCTCTAGCGTTAACCAAGACCTAGAAGAGAAGATTCTACCTACCCTATCAAAACAAGCGCTAAAATCGAAGCTTGAGAACGCTAGCTACCTCGGACGATACTGGCTTAGAACCCTGCCCACGCAAAAACACCACCTTTTAGCGGATTCTACAGTTACCGAAGCACTACGGACTAGGCTCTTACTCCCTGTAAAGCCCCCTATTTCGCCCTGTACCGCCTGTGGAGCCTACCCTCAAATAGGCCACGAAGACACCTGTAGAGGTGCTGAACGACGCTGGATTATACGCCATAACCAGGTTACCCGTGCATTTATTACTACCCTTTCTAGCCGGGAAGACCTTAAAGTGGAATCGGAGCCTACGCCAGCTAGAACGCCTATAGCCCTAGAAAACAGCCAACGACCGGATTTTTCAGTGCTTATAGGTACTTCTAGGCACTATTACGACGTTCAAATAGTAGCAATCAACAAGGATTCAGCACGCGAAGAAGCCTATGCTACGCTATCAGAGGCAGCAAACGCTAAACGGCTTAAATACAGCGACTTAGGCCCTGTATTTCACCCCCTGATCTTCTCGGCAGGAGGCCTAATGGAAGCCGAAACAGCGAAGACCTATAAGGCCCTACAGGGCCTATTAGGGCACTCTAGGGCTAAGTGGTTAGACGGGTATATCGCTAGCACCCTAACTCAGGCTCGAGGAATCGCTGCAACCTCGATCCTAGCACGTAGGTAGCTTATAACACACGCTATACCTACCCTACAGCACACACTACACCTACCCTATAACACACACTACACCTACCCTACGGCACACACGACACCTACCCTACGGCACACACTTCACCTACCCTAAGTAACTCACACTTCACCTACCCTGTGATACACACTCTATCTACCCTATAGTACACACTCTACCGACCCTGCGACTCACACTCTACCTACCCTTTGGTACACACTCTACCTACCCTATGGTACGCACTCTACCTACCCTGCGACTCACACTACACCTACCCTGTGGTACACACTCTACCTACCCTGTGGTATATACTCTGCCTACCCTATGGTACACACTCTACCTACCCTGCGACTCACACTACACCTACCCTGTGGTACACACTCTACCTACCCTGTGGTACATACTCTGCCTACCCTATGGTACACACTCTACCTACCCTGCGACTCACACTACACCTACCCTTTGGTACACACTTTACCTACCCTTTGGCACACACTCTACCTACCCTTTGGTACACACTACGCCTACCCTCTGATACACACTTTACTTACCCTTTGGTACACACTCCACTTACCCTGTATTATCTCCTTCTGTCTTAGTACTCTACCTTCTGTACCCCTGACACCTTCAGGCTCTTACCCTCTGTATTATTAGTATAGTCCTTCTGTATTTCAAGACTATTAGAGAGAGATAAAAACACTCGTCGCAAGCTAGCGTAGTTAGAAACAAATATAACCCAAACCTCAAACCCTGATACTTATATAAACTAGAGTAATCTGGACCTCGATTAATCTATTAGAGGCGACCTTACTATCTGCTAGTACCAGATAGTATCCCTTATCCTTTACTTTAGTTAATAAGTAGTGCTTAAGTATAATAGTAGGAGATATAAAGTTCCTTTATACTTTAGAGTCTATTATCGCCTGAAGCTTAACTCCCTTGATTTTAACCTCTAATATGAGATATTTATCTCTAATAGTAATAAGTTACTATATATAGAAATATTCCTAATATACACTATAGTTAAGGATACTTTCCTATACCCTTCGATTACTATAGCTTAGGCTAACCTTATATACGAGCCCTATTCTGAGTTCAGTATATATTACTAGGTTATATATCTCGTAATAGTACCGGCTATTATTATTAACGTAGACCTATGTCCTATTATATTAGTTCTCAGCTATGATTTCCTATTCCTTGCCTACCTCTAGTAGCGCGCTAGTATTAAGAATAATAGTATTCTGAAGTAGTAAGTGCTATATAAAGGTCGTTAGTCCTTCCTAGCTACCGGCTATTCTCTATCTAATACGCTTATAGTCCCGGTAGACTACTTCGTACCTTACTCCCTATAGTAGACCCCCTAAGCTGATAAGGCCTAGTTCTTAATAAGTAACCCCGGTAGCTATATTAGTCTAGTAGCAAGTATTATAGCTAACCTGATATAAGCTCTCTTCTCTTTAGGTAACTTCCTAAGTTTCACTTACTCTTAGTCCTAAGAGTTTAAGTTAAGGTAGCCCTAGTTCTAGAGTCTACTCGGGTTCCTAGGCCTCTTCCTCGCTATTACTTAGTATTAGCTCTGTGTTATTATCTAGCCTAGAGCTATTGTTATCTCGATATATATAGTCCTTAGAGGGCGTGCTAATAACAGTTTACTCGAGCTGATCTATGACACTCGCGGAATCTCGCTCGCTATTATTAGAATCGCTTAACTAGGTATAGATATGATTCTCCTTAAGCTTATCTGTAGTTATATATTGATATATCGCGGTAAGTTATTATACTAGTTTATTATAAGAGCTACGTCCTATTGCATTAGTATATTTCTTATCTATCCACGACTTCTTTTATTAATAAGAGCTAGCTATATAACTAGGAAAGCTATACTTAAAATATAGCTTCTTCTCTTATCACTCGCTTATAACTTTCTTAGATAGCCTACTACTACGTGGCTTTCCTTAATAACTTAGCTTCCGGAATATCGTATTAAGTTCTATTTCCTAAGGGTAAAATAGTTTCTTATTATTACCTCCTCTTCCTTAGTATATATATGTTCCGGAGCGGTATTAGCCTTTCTTCTTAAGTGCCTTCTTATAGTTTTAGTTATTAATCTTAATAGCTATTTCGATAAGTTCTTATAAGTTAGTAGGCGCGTCCGATCTTA